TGCATCTCATGAATGACCAGTGATGTTGAACATTTTTTCATATGTTTATTTGCTATTTCTACTTCTTTGTCTGAGAAATATCTGTTCATTTCAGACGCCCATTTTCAGATTGGCTCTTTAAATTTGGGAGGTCTGATTTTTTTAAGTTCTTTATAGATTCGAGATAGTAGACCTCTGAGGAACAACAAGTGAAGATTTTTTTCCCACATTATGGGTGGTCTCTTCACACTGTTGGTGGCTTCTCTTGCTGTGCAGAAGCTTTTTAATAAGAAGAGATCCCATTTGTTGATTTGTTTGTGCTAGTTCACGCGCAACTGAGGTTTTGTTCATAAAATCTTTTCCTACACCAATGTCTTCAAGAGTTCTACCTAACTTATGTTCCAGCCAGTTCAGTGTTTCTATTTTAGAGGCAGGCGCCGGAACCACTGAGCTAATTTCCTGGCCTGCCAGCATTTCTATTTTAATATTTACATCTTTAATTCATTTTGATTTTAGTTTACTGCATGGTGAGAGATATAGGTCTAGTTTTAATCTTTGGCAACTTGAAACCCAATTTTTCCAGCACCATTTATTGAAGAGGCTATCTTTCCTCCAGTGAGGGTGTTTGGCGCCTTTGTTGAAGACGAGGTGGCTGAGTGTGGCTGGAGTTGTTTCTGCATCTTTTAATCTGTTCCCCTGATTCTCAGGTCTGTTTCTTTGCCAGTACCATGCTGTTTTTATCACCATAGCTTTGTAGTATAGTTTCAAGTTAGAGGTTGTGATACTCCCTAACTTGACTTTATTGACTAAAATTGCTTTTGCTATTCTGGGTCTCTTCTTCCAAATAAACTTTTCAATTGTTTTCTCAAGGTCTGTGAAGTATGCTGCTGGGATTTTGATTGGGATTACATTGAATCTATCTAGCAGTTTTGGAAGTATGGCCATTTTCACTATGGTGATTCTTCCTACCCAGGAACAAGGGATGTCTTTCCATTTTCTGATACCATCTTCAATCTCTCTTTTCAGAGTGCTATAGTTTCCAGAGAAGAGGATTTTGATTTCTTTTGTTAGGTGGATTCTTAGGAATTTCAGTGTTTTGGATGCTATTGTGAAAGGAATTGTTTGGCCTATTTCTCTCTCAGTGAGTCTACTGTTCGTGTAGAGGAAAGCTATTGATTTTTGTGTGTTGACCTTGTATCCAGCTACTGTACTGAATTTGGTTATTAAGTCTAGAAGATTTTTGGTGGAGTTCTTGGGGTCATCTATATACAGTATCAAGTCATCTGCAAATACTGACAATTTGACTTCTTCATTTCCTGTCTTTATTCCTTTTATTTCTTTCTCTTGTCTAATTGCTGTGGCTAATGTTTCCAAAACTATAT